TTTCTGCAGGAAAGAACTCTAGCTCAGGGTTTTCCAAGCTAAATTGCATGAAAACACACAATCCTTTTTCTTCTTATTTGAACAGTTAGATGACGGGTCCAAATTACCAGAAAGACCAAAGGCAGTTTGCAGCTTTTAACAACGGAAAGAACTTATTGCTTCCAATTCAGAAACACAAAAGATTCGATGCCTACTCTCAGTACACTCAGATCCTATGCATTCCCACCATACCCTTGAAGAAATAAGGACCATCTGTCAAAAAACCAAAAGGCATACCCATCCTAGTAGTTCGGAATTGGGAAACATGTTCAAAACCGGGGCAAGAGTGACTTCATACAGGGATTTAACAGAACACGGACCATTCCTGCTGTGCCTCTGGCCAAATGGTGTCTCTTGTCCTTGGCCTCTCAGGACCATTCAGTCTTGCTGGATTGTAAGGGATTATTTTGCAGATTTCATCAAAATCCATTAAGTCTGAAGGGTAGTCCAGCCACAGAAGCTACTTCTTGAGGAGAACCCTGGACAGTTACTGCATCTCCTAATTTTCAATACCTTGGCTATTTTGTTTCTAAGCTTAATTGTACTAATGTATTGATTTGGGATAAATATCTACATGCTCCTTGCCACTGTTCACACATATTAATCCTAGTATTAATACAGAACTGAGGAAACAGAATCACAGGGTGTGGCAAATGGCAATTTTCATTAACAACACAGGAAAAATATTTAAAGAGCAATAGTTATTTCCTATTGATTCAACCAAAATGACTTGGACAAAAAGATTGTGCTTACTAAATTTCTTTCAAAGAAATAACTGTTAAGATTTAAATTCCTTTCCAATGGCATTAAAAAAACTAGCACATGTAATCTCTCCTGATTTTGTCAATTATGAATTTTTGTTCTGCATGATAACTCTGAAATATATGACTTTTATTGGCCTAAAAAAGAATGAGAGGACAGATTTTTACTTAGAAGAAAACATAATCAACAATCAACATCAATGATGCTTTCTACAAGACAAGGAGTAGCTTAGCAATGCTAGCAATTTGAAAGGCAGGAAATAATAACAAACAGAATGTTGTGAAATTACAAAAGGGTGCATTATTGAATTAGCTTGCTATATTTACCAAAGGGATGTTAAATGAGGATAGATATAAGATTTCCAAGCAGTGGTATAAAAATGGCTGATCATTTGACAACATTCTCCTTACATTTGGAGCAGTTTATCCAATGTAGGGAATGGATACCTTAGAATGTGTCATACAGCCCCAATGGGATGCTGGCATTTGAGGTCTCATCGGACATAACAATGCTTCATAATCCATTGACATTTGTAGGCCACCATTTATGTGCTGGGTGTACTTCTGTTAATGTTCCCATATCTTAGTGTTCTCCTGCAAAATTCTAAAGAAGGTCTATATTGTCTCTGTTTCAACCATTACCAGCAAGTTTATATAATAAGGCCTTATACATCCCAAGTTTGGGATTCAAAATAGGAAACTTAAGTATATTTTTCCCATAACTTTGATTATGATAAATCTTTGTTTCAAGGAAACTATACTCACAATTCTAGAAATTTTGCCTAAGAATATAAGAAACTTGACATAGAATAAGAAATGTCTCTCAAAAAGATAATAGAAAGGGTCAGGAATACCAAATCCCAGCAGAATATATATGATGCTTTACTCTTGGTGGACAAAACCCTGAGCAGATTCATAATGGAAAACTATAACTCATGTATGGAATTCACCCTAATATCATGAAGAGAACTTGTAAATATTTTGATTGAAAGAACATATGAATGTGTAGGGGAAATTGCTCATAGTGTTGAAGAATATGCTAGAAATGAACACAGCATTTATATGTAGTTATGTCACAAACTACCTGTACCTCTTGGTCCCAGACATTTAAGTATAAACCTGTTACATGATTCCTGAGATGTCCCACTGTTCCTCTATTACATTCCAGAATTGCACCAAGCATGCCATGGGCTTAAGACATATATCCAAGGCAGGCAGTGTTCACCTTCTACTCTTATTGAATCCCAAAAGAATAAGAATGTGCAACATTTCTGGTACTTCTGCACCAGCCAGAATTTTGCACTTTTAATCCCTTTATCCCAAGTTAATTAAGTTAATTGCATGAGAATAATTCCTCCTTCTTCCTTCATTCCCTCCCTTACCTCCCTCCCTCCCTCCCTCCCTCCCTCTGTCTCTCTCTCTCTCT